ACTATGAAATCAAATAGTAGCACTAATGCATATTTTTTATGAATAGATTAACTGATGCAACCAAGGGGACTGGCAAGATACCATGGGATTCCTTGTAGTTTAGAGCATTCCCCTGGCTTAAATCCACCCAAGCAGAGGGGTGGGTTTCCCAGGTCCCAGGCAAGTGCACCATGAACTCAGTTGCCAGGGGAAAGCCAACCTCTTTTGGGTGGACTGACCTTTCATCAGGCACCTTGCTGCCAGAGGGGGCTCGTGGCGTGAAACCCATGTGCAGATGGTTGCTCCCTTCATCCCGGAGGCTGGTGCCTCTGTCCTTGGAGAGCTTGGGACCGATGTCCACCTCTCTTCTCAGCAGTCTGGGTCTTGTGAATGCTGCTGGCAAGCACCACGACTCCTGTGCGTTGTGTGGTGCAGCCTTGGGCCCGGCTAAGCAGGGTGCCTTGGACTAAGGCAGTGCAGAGCTGAGTGCTGCAATGCTTGAGTCCCCTTGAGTATCTAGCCCCAGATGATGGCACGGGCAGTTTATATTGGCTTGGGAAGGGTATCATGCCTCTTCCTCCTTGACTGCATGGGTGGCAGGACGCTGGTGAGACCTAGCTGGGGAGCAGCTCTGATAAGCTACCCTTGGCTGTGTCCACACAGTGAACACAGTGCTCGCAAGTGCTCCAAGCTACCCACTAAAGCATAATCGCCTTCAGACATTGCTTTAGTAGGGCTAATTCACGTGGATGAGCAAGTCACGATTCGTCGGCCCTTCACGGCAATGAGCCTGGTATGGTATAAGTTGACCATTTGGATAAAGCTTTGCGTGCAGAGATAAATTATAAGACCCACCAAGTGTTGTCATTGGCTTTACTCTCACCATGCACTGCAATCATTTCTTGCTGTGTTGGCATGGGGCAGGCATCCCCGGCCCCACTTGAGAGGGGTATGGTGCATATTTATCCTTATCATGGCTTAAGGTTGGCCTTGGGAAGGGGGCACTAGGGCCTTGCTACTGTCTCACTCCCATCTGTCAGCACACAAATGGTTTGTCTCCGACCCCACAACTATGCCCCACAGCTGTCGCACAAACAGCTGAGCAGCCGCACGTACACACATGCTCAGCTGCGGCTACGAAAGGTCGCTCAAATCCTGCTCCTGACCTGCGTAACCCGGGTTTCGGGAACAGCTATCCTCCAGCTGTATTTATATTAAGAAATACCCATTTTCTTCTCCACTGGACGCTGTGGAGGTCTCAGCAGGAGCACAATGCAAGAGGCGGATGAACTAGAGGAAACCAGAAAATAGTGATGGAAGGACGAGAGATTCAGAAACCAAGGCCTATGCAAAGAGATGAAAGGTGTTAGGATTGTTGGGTTTGGAGAAGAACAGAAGGAGGAGTAGGTAGTTTTCCCTGGTGTTATATATCCCTTTTTCTCTATTTCATCCTGTTCCTCCTGCCTATATCCCTTTGCACATTATTAAACAATCCACTCTTACCTTAGTTTTCACATCCTTCCTATATCAGCAGCCTGTTTTTTCTGTCTGAAGCTGGCCATTATATGCATTTCTTAATCTCCCCTCACAAGTCCCCTAAAGTGATTTCTTTGGGGAGCAGAAGAGGAGAGAATGGTTTTTATCTCTGCTTATGGCAGCAGCAGTCCAGATGCATGGAATTACAACAGCAAAAGTGTAATAACGGCCTGCTGTCCTCAACTGGCTCCGTTTCCTTACCAGCAGGATGCTCCTTGCTAATGGAAAGATAATGAGGAAGGAACAGGCTCATGTTCGAGGTTGTGCTGTGCCTGGAAAAATCTTGATGTGATTTTCCATGTAGGAAATAGATGTATGGACCTTCCCCCCGACAGCAGGAAGGAGCCGGTGCCTGAACATAAGCGAGCCAGGGTATCACAGCAGTTTGCATTCGGCAGCGTAGCAAGACATGCCATTGTTCCAGCTGAGAGGCTGGGGGATTGTTCGGCTCCGCCGTGGTCAGAAGTAGAACCGCAGATCCTAAGCAGCGTGATTGGCCTCGCTGTTTATTTTTGCACGGTGCCATTTGCGACCGGCATTACAAGGCAAAGTCCTGTGTCAGGGGGTTTTCACTCTTGCACACAGCACCGATGAGTTTTCAGCGAGGGCTTGGGAATCAGGAAGATTAAGAAACATCTGACTCAACTGGGTGAACTGCCGGGACAATAAGACTTTGCACTTATTCATCTGAGGAACTCATTGTGCTTCAGGAGAGTGGGGGAAGGTGGGTAGTAGACTGGATGGCCAAGGAGAGCACTGCTGACCTCCGAGTCCTGACTGTGCTGTGAAGCTTTGGCTGTTTAATATATGTTGGGAGGCTGCCTTACGACTCCCTGGGCATGGTTAGCTGGGACCTCTGTCCCCATGTGTTCCCAGACCCCCTGGGGGTCTCCCAGTATGATGGGTGCTCCCAGGCACCCTAGCCTTATGGGCTACGCGTGGCTCCTACCAACCCCCAATACCACACTCCAAGCCTCGCTGATGGGATAGACGTTGGTGTGTCTCTCTGTACGTACCCTGCCCGTCTCTCGGGCCTTCTCTATGCACTCGCCCACTCTCTGGGGCGTCCTGTATATACTCGCCCGCTCTCTGGGGCCTCCTCTCCGAGCCCCCTCGGGGCCTCCCTGTAATGTCGCCCCCTTCTCTGGGGTCTTCTCTAAAATAACATAGCCCGCTCCGGGACTTGCTCCCGAGTCTCCGGTCCTCTAGGCCCACCGCACTGCTACCCTCTCTTATGCGGGCTCACCGCACTGCTATCCCTTTTTTTTACCGGGGACCACTGCAGCACCTTGCCCTGCTCCTCGGGTGCCGTGCTGCTAACCCCTTTCGTTGGGGCCCACCGCAGCACCTTACCCCTGTCTGAGGTCTACCGCTGTGCTAGCCTTCCACCGGGCTCGCTACGCCCGCCTCGGGCTCCTCAATAAGGCGCTCTCCCTATAGATTCATAGATGTTAGGGTTGGAAGGGACCTCAATAGATCATCGAGTCCGACCCCCTGCATAGGCAGGAAAGAGGGCTGGGGC